GTTGCAACCTGCCCTCCAGGGGGACGGTCCACGTTCAAAAGCCCAGCTCACTAGCTAAGAGATATACAGCTCACCTCCACCATCCGACCCAGACCAGGGTGGTCCTGAAGCAGCAGCTGTGAATTCACATAACGACAGACAAGATCAAACCCTCTCCAGTGAGGTCCTGATCAGTTCACAAAGAATAACACAGTTTATTGTCCTTTGACCCTGATGCTAGGTGGCTAAGGGGGGGGAAAAAAGGGGACAGTTCTTCCCTGATTAAAACTCCCATCAGAACATATTTCTGGAAACTACAACTATGGGAAAAAGGGAATTACCCTCCTCTATGCTAACTTGTTACTCAAGGGTGATTTACCAAAAATAATGAATACTGTCAGTATCAGCATCACTTAAAACAGGCTGCGGCATAAAATAGATTAGGCGAGAGTGCTCTAGAAAAACACACGGTGGACCCGTGAGCACCTGCCTGTGTGTCAGTGCTTTTCACCAAACACCAGTCTGTCTTAGAAGAGGCTGAGTACGTCCACCTACATCCACACATACTTCTATAAAAGCGTGACTTGTAATAAAGGGTTAATGAGGAAAAAAAACAGGCTAAGTACAAATTAATGTCTTAAGTATAATGTTAAGTGAATGTGTTTACAGGTTCAAAGTGCAGTAGATCTAATCTAACAAAAAGAGAGAAAGAAAAGAAATTGTATAGGTCGGTTTGCATCAAGAAAAGGATCAGAAGAATCTAGTACAAAAACAGAAGTCAAGTTAACAGCAAACCCACCTCCAACACGCTCTCTTCCCGCGTGGCTAACTTCAGGTGCCAACAGTAAACCATAATGCAATATCCAACACAGCGTTGGTGATTCAGAGATGAGAACAACACGGTCCCCGGACTCCAAAGCTCCCCGGGAACAAAGATCGCCATACACATAACAACCGAATATACTCCAGTGGCAAGAGCCATCGGCTGCAGGTGTAAAATAGACCTGGGAGGGAAACAGCTCTGCTTGGAAGAGGGAGGAGAAGGGAGACGCTCCCCGGGCACAGAAGTCACAGGTGAGTTGGGTCTTGAAGATCAAGTAAGAATCCGCCATGTGGGAAGAGACAGAGGATCTGGGGCAGAGGAAACGAACATTCCAGATGAAGGGAAGAGCACAGCAGAGGACAGTGCCCAAGCGGCTCCATCTTTCCAGGGCTCGAGGGAACCAGAGGTTTCCCAGGAAGCCTCCAAGCCCTGCCTGAGCAGCCGCGCTGGAATTGGTCTCCAGTTGAAAGGTAAGAACACTAAACACAATGAAACATACCCGGTGAGATACGTTTATCGGCCCAGACTTGAACAGAGGTAGAGACAGAGGCAAAATGATACGGCACGTCCATCCTGGCAAACGTTTTCATTAAGAATCCGTTCTCCAGGCATTCCATATTTACGGCTCTCCATTCAACATGTCATCCTGTCACTATAACTCTGTGTGAGACATGCTTTCCTGGGCCAGCCCAATTATCCGTTCCATCCAATATTCTGTCTCTGACACAGCACTAGGGGACACTGGTTGGGAGAACATGACAGATGTGGCCCACTCCATCTACGTCCGTCTCAAAATGTCAGAAGATTCGTTGATGGTGGCCAAGGGGAGTTTAGCTTTATTTGCCAAATTTGTACTTTAAAAAAAACCAACTGTATTGGTTTTTAAAGACTGTATTAATGTGGACCTTACCTAACTGATAACTTTTTAGAGCTTCTCATTAGCCACCCTTCAGTGAACAATATAAGTCTTCGTACGGCCTTAAATGATTTGGGGGGTAACTACAGAAAACCATCCATTAACATGTTATTTAAAGTGCTGGCATCCTTCTTGCTAACGGGCTTATCAATACCAATGCAGATTCCTAAATTGGGACTATTTCTAACAGCTAGACGAGACAAACCTGACCCGTCTAGAAGATAAGGAACATGCCTGATTCTCCACTGGCTTTTGGGGGGAAACTGACCCCCGCGCACTGCAGGTCCTTGTTGATGTAACTAAATTTCAACAGCGAGTTGCACGGGCCAACTCTCTCTATCTAATGCCGTTCTCAGGGGCCGGCCGAGTGGCTCAGTTGGTTAAGAGCTCGCTCAAGAGTTTGAGCTCTGAGCAACAGCGGTTCGAGTCCAGCCCGACCTGAGCAGCCGCTGAGCTGCCAACAGGTAGCAGGATGGCTCAGCTAAAAAAAAAAAAAATCTAAATGCCGTTCTCTAACAAGACCCATGCTGATTTGCTAGCTCTTGTGTGAGTGGTCCATCCAGGGCATAATGCTTTCTAATGCAAATCTCTGAGGGCCACTGATGGTCATTACCAGCATGAGGCAACCGGCAGGCTGAAAAGACCAACTTAATTCATGAGCAGCCATCCTTCCGACACTGTGCATACAGGAAATTCCTCTTTGATTTGTGGCTTTAATCACGGCTTCCCAAACCTGTCATTATTTATGACTCTGACTTTTACACTGACGGTCATCGGGAAAATTTTACTCAGGTTACCTGCTAGAAAAGAACTCTGCAGCTCAAAGCAGTTCGTGGGCTCCATTTTGATGTTACATGTCTCAATTTTCCTGCCAACTCACCCCGCTGGGAACGGAGGTGGAGCAGGTGGGGGTGAAGGTGCAGGAATCCACACTGCATGATTGGACAGAACAATATTACTTAAAAATGCAGCGACTTCTCTAGCCAGACCTGAGGCAGATTCGAAAAGAAAAAAACGTTGCAAAAGAAAACCAACAACCTAAGGGGTGACTGCAGGTGCGTTTGGGTCTACTGTCCAGGGTATTTGAAACAATGAAGCAGTGCTGACCAATATAAAGTCACTTCTCTTCTGACCACCTTGGCCACACTGCTGGGAGGGTTGTCTTCCCCCTTCTGGAAAGCAGCAAACTCCTCCCAGGCACAGCGACTTCTACTCCTGTCTAGTACAATCTAAGCCCCACGCTCATCTAAGTTCTCTCTGCTCTCTGCCTTCTCCCCTCTTCACTGACTCCTTCCCCTCAGTCCACAGTTATGCTCCCGATTTGGGCCTTCATTTTAAAAATCAATAATTCTTTAATAACTGAAGTATAGCACTCATTCAGAAAAGTGTGCAAACAATAAGCATTCCACTTGATGAATTTTCAGACTGAACACGCCTGTGTAACTAGCACTCAGCTCAGAAACCTTTGATCAACATCTCCAAAGGCCATTCCTGCTCCCGTCCACGCAGGGGTGACCACTCTCCCGCCTTCTCACTGCCCAGATTAGCTTTGTTTGTCTTGTGCTCTGTATAAAGAGAATCATTTCTATTGATTTCGTTTGTACACTTCTGTGTCTGGCTTCTGTCACTCATCCTGTTTGTGAAGCCCATTCCATATTATTGAGCAGAGTTTAGATCATTCGCTCTTATAGCTGCATAGTTTTCCCCTGTGTAAACATAACCACAATTTATAATCCATTGTATTCATGACATTGGGTGTGGTTCAGTTTCGTCTCTTAAGAATAGTGCTATGGGCCGGCTGAGTGGCTCCGTTGGTTAAGAGTTGGCCTGGGAGCATGAGCTCTGAGCAGCAGGGCCGCCGGTTTGGATCCCACATGAGGGCCAGTGACACTGCCCTCTACAGCTAAGATGGTGAACAACAGCTCGTCCTGGAGCTGGGCTGCCATGAGTGGCCGGCGACAGCGTAGGCTGCAGTGGGCTGCAATTAGCTACCGTGAGTGACCGGCAGCCAGCATGAGTGGCCAGCAGCTGGCATGAGCTGCTGTGAGCCGCCGTGAGCAGCCGTCCAATGGCTGGCGACCGATCTGACTCAGCTGGGAAGAGCACAATGATCATAATACCAACGTGGGCCAGTGAAGCAACGTCCTCCACAACTAGACAGTGAAGAACAAAAGGACAGCAACTTGTCTGCTCCCCTTCCCCGATTTCCCAGTGCTGTTCCCTCCCCCAATTTCCCAATAAAATCTTTAAAGAAATTTAAAAAAAAGAATAGTGCTACTATGGGGCAGCCGTCTAGCTCAGGTGGTTAGAGCACAGGCTCATAACACCAAGGTTGCCAGTTCGATTCCCACATGGGCCAAGAAGCTGCGCCCTCCACAACAAGATTGAAACAACTACTTGACTTGGAGCTGATGGGTCCTGGAAAAACACAATGTTCCCCAATAAAATTTCTTAAAAAAAAGAATAGTGCTACTATGACAATGTCTTTTTTAGAACACATGTTCATATTTTGTTGGGCATATAACCAGTAGTGGAATTGTTGGGCCATTCAAACTCTCTTTTTTTAAGGTTTTCAGAGTAGATAAAAGTAATACAAATGTGTTCTGGACTCTTCTATCTAAGAAGCAAGGCAACTGACCTCAACCCCTCCAGCCCCTCCAGCTGCTTCTTGAGAGAGTCTGTTTGCCCCTGCCAGGCTGTCAGCTCCCAAGAGCAGTGACCATTCCCCAAAGTGACCACTGCCTGCCAGGGCCTGGAATACAGTGGGTGGTCAATGGATGACCACGGAGCTACTGGACTACAGGTGACATTGCCGCAACTCCCAATGCCTTCCCCACGAATCTGGGCCTGGCTGCTGGTCCTTGGCTGCGTGGTAAACGAGCCCGCTGAGGTCCGAAGACCCCCTAACACCGAAGCCCACGGCCTGGCTTCAGCCCTCATCTTCCCGGCCCCTCGGAGGCAGTTGTTACACGAATGACTGACGTCCACGCGGAAAGCAACCACTAGCCCTCATCTCTTATTTTTCTTCCCCCATCAGGGTTAACACTAAGTGGCGTTCTGAAGGCCAAAACCTCTTTCTCTTTCATTAGCTGGGTTTTGTTGCAAATTTTCTGTTTAAAAGCTCTTAAATTGTAATGAAAAAACCATTTCAAACTCTTTTTAAACAGACAATTTTAGGGAATCTCTGATCATCTGTTTGTCTCACAGGAAATGGAAAATACTGTGCAACCAAAGTAAAATGCATTTCAACGGTGGGAGGAAAGCGAAGCTGCTTCTGCTTACACCGCTCTGGCTCTTTTGTTCCTCTTCACCCTCGTCCTGCTAGGAGGAAACAGGTACATCCAACACACCAACAGGAAAAACGAGCCACGAGCCACTGGGCAAGGCTTATTCCACAAAGCCAAGGCTGTGCGAGTGAAAAGCTCAGCTCGTCAAACTGGACCTAGTGAGAAAGACAGCTGATCAGGTTGGCTCAGCTAATTAACAGACTTACAGGCTCTGATAGAATGAAATCAAGCTTGATTTAGAACAAGGCTTGGCAAACCATGCCCCGCAGGCGGAATCCGGCCCACTGCCTGTTTGTAAATAAAGTTTTATTAGGAAACAGCCAAGCCCATTCGTTTATGTTATGCCTGTAGGTGCTGCCAGGCTATGACGGCTTGAGTAGTTTCATCAGGACTTCTGGCCCGCCAAACCTAAAATATTTACTATCCCGACCTTCGCAGAAAAAAAATTGCTCATCTCTGAGTTAGAAAATACTGTGCTGTCTGGATTTTGTTCCATTTCCCAAGATGAACAGGTTCCTGTTCTAACTATTTCACTTCATAGGGAGGTCTTTATTATTTTTTTTTAATGGACAACCTTTGATTCAGGTTTATATGAGAGAAAAAGCTCAATGGTTTGGTTTGGGGCTCAACTGAATACAGTTTCTCTCCTTTTCGGGCACAGCTGGTTGTGGTCCCTGAGCAGAACGTTTTTTACAAACCTGGGACAAAGTGGGCAGGAATGCTTTTGTCTTTTATTCAAGCTCGGACATACACCACTCCTTCCAACATTAAGATTCCGAGTCTGTCTATAGTCCTCTGACTCATCCTATAGCTAATAGCTAATCCTATTTTCAACAAAGGTCCCGATATCATTTGTTTGAACCTAGCTTTTCTCATCAATAGAAGCATGCCCTCTTCCACCTTCTTTCATAGATAACCTCTGAAAAACTAAACATTTGAAAAGAAATAGTGTTCTCCAAATACTAATGTATTCTGAGTCTGTCTTTTGAAGCTAAATGCATCCAACAATAACTTTGCAGCCAAGTTCAGAACCAAAATCCAGCTTTCCAACTTTTTGTGCAGATATTCAATCACATGTGAAACTTTCATATCATTTTTTAAAACTTTGTATGATGGAGATTTTCAAATGTATGCAAAATGCAAAAAAAGAACAGAATCGTAAACCCCCATGTCCCCAGCAACTAGCTTCAACAAGTATCAATATTCTACTATTTTCCCCCATTTATCCTTCTTCCCAACTTTTTGTTTGTTTGTTGCAGTATTTGAAAGCAGGCCTCATCAAATCACTTCACCCATAAAGGCTTGTTTATTTCTGTTGGCTAAGCCCCTTCTCCTTTGAACAAAACTGTGACACTGCTATCACATCCAACAAAATTAATAATAATTCTAAGCATAATCTAATACCGAGTTTCAGTTCAGTTTTCCCCAACTCTCGCAGTAATGTCCTTTTATAGCTGCTTTGTTCAACTGGTGATCCAAATATGACCATATATTGTATTTTTTTGATAGGTTCCTTTACATCTACAATAGGTTCCCCTCATTTTTTTCACTCACCACTGACATGCTCGTACACTTAAATTCTAGTTGGCCAAGTATACCTTCCCAAGAGTAATACATCTTCAGCCTCCACATGCCATAAGCAAACCCAGACATTCATAGGCCTTGAAGCCCCTAAGGCACAGACCCGTCCAGCTCAGCCTTCCACAAACAGTCCACCACGGGGACCAATATGCCAGGCTAGCCCACACACTTTCCACTCTCAAGAGAAGGAACTTAGATTGCTTCAGCAAGCTAATTCCCTAAAATTAAATATTTTCTGTGCTGTGCTGGCCCCAAGACTCAGAATGATGGGAAAAAACAAGGCATCCATTCTTTATGGCTTCTTTTTGAAGTTAGCCAAATTTAATCAAGAATCTCAAAGTAAATCAGACAAGACTTCTAATCCATTATTGTCACCAGTGACAACATTAATTGAACACCTAGATCATGTAGGACATGGGTTATAAAAAGAATGACCTGTGTCCCTGCCCAAAGTGACTGATAACCTAAATGGAGAGGTGGCTTCATCATTTAGACAAAAACACACAAGGAGGACAACAGGTACAGGACCACCCCAACCAACATCGTGCCCCGCCACTGGGTTAAGCGTATCTGTGCGGTCTGAGTGCTGGAATAAAAAGAACAAGAGTCAGAAGGAATAGAGGTTGATGGCTCCTTCTATCGTTTATGACTTATGGCACATGCTTAAGTGACCTCGCCTCTCTGAGGCTCAGTTTTATCATCTGTAGAATAGGAATAACCCCACCTACCACAGACTAGCAGCTGTTCATGGTGAGTCAGAAAATCTTCTATGAAAGCCTAGCAATGATGATGATGATGATTAAACTAATAATGATAAAATCATTGAATACTCATTATGCCGGGCACTGGGCTCAAATGTTTTAGTATACTATTTCATCTAAGCCTCATATCAGTCCTATGAGGCATCTCCTATTCTCATGTTATTTTCCAGATGAAGAAAATGAACAGTGAGTTGGTCATGTGCCCAAGCTGACACAACTAAAGGCAGGAAGAGAGTCACAGGACCTCAGGGTCCTTGTTGTCAATCATGGCAGGATAATTCCTCCCAAATACCACCACTGTAAGGTGTAAAGGTGGGACCAAGGGCAGCATAAATTGTTGGGGGGTAGTGCCAGACCCTCCTATTATAATTAGATCAATTATAAAGTCATAAGGTACAGCACCCCACAGCCCACACCCCTGCTCAAACAGGAAGCCCCAGTAGGCTCCCAGAGTTGCCCTGCCCAGGGCGTGGGTATATTTACAGCCATAATGGTGGTTTCCTTCCTTATTGGATCAAGTCTTCAGCTGTCGCTAAAGAGTATTTAGGTGATCTTTATTGCAAATCTCCAACACCCAATATTTGTCCAAACAGGGCCAAAGTAAACTCATGATGATATTTTCCTATATAATCTCTTACTTCCTTTTTGTGCATATAATCAAAAAAGGCTGAAGGGAGCAAGCCACCAGGAAAGGGGTCCAACTGCCTGCAGCCATCATGCTTTGAGAAGCCCAACCTCTAGCTAAGTGGAAAAGGCACCTGGAGAACTAAGGGCCTGGCCAACAGTCCCAGGGACCTCCTGGCCCACAGCCATGGAGTGAAGCCATTCTGAACCTTCTCACCCTCAACGGAAACACATGATGCTTCTGTATCACCCAGTCAACCCACAGAGTAGTTAGAAATAATAAAATAATGTCAGTCAAGGCCACTATGTTTTGGGATGGTTTGGTAGATAACTGAAACAGCCAGAAACCAGATTTTCCAGCCAGGACAAACATCAAATCTATGAGTAAGAGGTACCTCAACAGCAGCTTACTGTTGTTTATCAATAGAAACGCTACATTCCTTCCATTCAAGGATGCCCATTGGTTGAAACATTCCACTCTGTAAACCCAGGGCCTACACTGTACCTGGCTTAACAGTGTTAAATAAATACAAATCACGACCACGTTAATAACAATAGCAGCTAATATTTACCAAGTGTTTCTGGCATACAAGGCCTTCAAGCTAAACCTTTTATTAATTTAACCTTCACAAAAGCCTTTTGAGGCAGACCACTATTACGCCCACTTTACGGATAAGGCCACTGAGGCTCAGGGTGGTACAGTGATCTGGCCAGGATCACACAGCCCATAAAGAATGGCACAGGACTTCACCCTCTGGCCATCCAACTTCCGGAACTCGGGCTCCTTAACCATCAGCTATTTAGTGACCCTTCAAGTGTCATTCCACTTCACAAAAGTTGACTCCCTCTAAAACAGATAATGTGTGTAAAGGGTTTAAAGCTATGCCCGACCTATCTTAAGTTTTCAATAAACACCAACTCTTACTATTAGGCGACTTATAGACGGGGAAGGGAAGAGCATGCTGAGACTTCAATTAATGTTAGCTATTTTGATAGTTTGTACAGACCTCCTTCGCCAGCAAGCTTCCTGGAATCTGGAAATGTTCTGTTTACAAGTCTGCTCTCCCCCTGGACTGTGAGCTCCCTGAGAGGTAGCGCTGATTCTGGTTCATTTATCTACAATACATGGACTCCACACATGATCTGCCCCAAAACGAGGAGGTGCTCAAGAAATGTCTGTTGAATGGAAAGGAAACGCTTCATTGACCACAAATGCGAACTTGCATTTCCAGGATATCTCGCCCAGGCATTAGTCCCGAAAGTGATTCCAAAGAAAAGGAGAGAGCAGGTAGGGACAAGGGCAGGAGACCCACCCCAGAAATGCAGGCGTCAATGAGCGACTTGGGGTAAGTGCCGGAGCTGGGCTTGTGGCCAGGACACCTGAAAAGTCTGTGAAACTCTGTGGTGTGGCCGGACACACGGAAGAGTGGGACCTCCCCAACTCCCCAGCACCCTGAAAAGTCCCAGGGGAAAAGTGGATCCCGTGAGTGGAACCCATCACCCCGCCTGCAAAGTGGCCACGCCTCCCTCCCGTCCCTTCAAGGCCGCCGCTGGAGGAGGAGGATGAGGAAGAAGAGGAAGAAAGTGACAGGAAGTCAGAAGTTTCCCAACAACAAAAATCCTCCCCACGAGGGGAGGGCTCCCCCATCCTCGGCCGCCCCGCCCAATGAGGAGGGACCGCCACAAGTGGATAAAGGCAGTTTGGGGGTCCCAACATAGACGGCCTGGTCTGTAGCACCCCTCCGCGTTCTGTACACCTCGAGTTCTGTGAGAGGTTCCCAGGGAGGGGCGGGCGCACCCCAACTGTTACTTACAATCGTCTAAGTCATCCTGCAAGTCCACAAAGTACAGGGGGATCTCTGAAAACCAAGAGACACAAGGAGTTACGAGGGGGCTGTGACAGGCAGGCTCAAGGGGGGGGGGTCTTGCTGATCTTGCTGGGTGGTCGCGGTTAAGGAGGAAGGGTCCGCCCCTGCGCCCCGGGAGTGCGGCCCTACTTACCCGCCATCTTGGGATGGGCCTGGAGGCGTGGCCGGCGGCGATGGGCGGGGCCTATAATTCCGTGCCCCGCCCCGCGCCTCCGGCCCCGCCCCCGGGCCCACAAGCCTCGCGGCGCCAGCTGGGCCCCGCCCTCCCAGCGAAGGTGGCTGCCGAGGTGGGCGGGGAGGTCAGGTGACCCGGCCGGCGTCGCAAGATGGCGGCGGCGGCGGCGCCCTGGAGTCCGTGGTACTGTCCCGGCTGCTGAGGTGGGCCCCACACAGCTGGCGGCGGACGGGCCGTGACAAGGGCCGACAAACAGGAGACCGCCGCCTCTGCGCGCCCCGCGGCCGGAGCTGGGCCGTGCGGCGTTGGCGCCGGGGAATGCTCGTGCTGGGCCTGGCCTCTCCCTCCTCAACTTAGGGCGGCGGCGGGCCCGCGCCCAGGCTGCCGGGCCATGGCGCTGAGGGAGCTCAAAGTGTGTCTGCTGGGGGTGAGTGGCGGCCGGCTGGCCGGGAGGGCGGCGGGAGGCCGGGCGGGCCGGGGACCCAGGCGTGCCCACGTCCCGTCCGCTCCTTCGCCCAGCCTCCGAGCGGGACGCCGCTTACCTGCCCCGGGACCCAACCTCTAGCCCCGGTGCCATCCTGATCACCTTGCCAGAAGGTCCCGCCGGCAAAGAGGGACCCTTCCCCTTGTGCTTCGTGGAACCCAAAGTCTCTTCCCGCCCCGCAAAGGGCCCTGCCGCTCCGTTGCATCGAGGTGAAGAGCAGCTCTTAAATAGTTTCCTCCCAAGGCACCAGTTAGGAGTTTGCCAAGTCTCCCAAAGTAAAACCAATCACAGGTCATTAGGTTTTACCGGCAGCATTGACCTCCTTTCCCTTCTGTTTGGTGTTTTTGAACTTGGGGACTACCCCTAACACTTTTTTTTTGCAGAGTTACTTTCCTGGGGGGGGGGGGACACGTTAAAATCAGGAGGCCCCAAAGACTGTTCGAAGCCTCAGCTTCCCGTCTTAGGTTAGGGCAGCGTTGCCATTTCAAAGCACGCTTTCTGCAGTTGCTCCCTTGCCTCAGTTGCTGCTGTCAGGTCTCAAGAGGATCCCAAGAACTAGCGTCCCCCTTCCCTCCTTAAGAGGCTGGGGGCTGGGATTGATCAGGGATTGCTCAGAAGTAATCCCAAGAGTTCACAGTTCACTGACACATGTTAAAAAGCAAGTGAGTTCGTCTCTTTTCACACGAAGCAGAAACTTGGGGGTCTTTCAAAAAGTCCTTAAAAACGGCAAAACGTCTCTCCTACCTTTTGAAATCTGCTAATTACTCCCGCTGAATTTTTATGAAACTCACCTCTTATGTGTCCCTGAACTTCCAAAATTCACCTCTAAGATGAGTTTTCCAAAATCCTGGACTTACGGGCACAAGGGTCGTTTTCGGGGTCTGCAAGCAGGGAGACTTCTTCTTACTCGCCCATCTCGTTCTCTTGCAGGATACAGGCGTCGGTAAATCGAGTATCGTATGGCGGTTCGTGGAAGACAGTTTTGATCCGAACATCAACCCAACTATAGGGTAAGAGGTTAAGTTTCTTGCATGTACATCTAGAGGTGCATTGAAAGCCCTTCCACATAAAAAGCGTGTTCCGGGGGTAGACCTCGCCATTGTACACGCGAGTGAATTCGGAGACATGGGTTCCTATCATCTCTGGAAGGACTTGAAAGAGTACAGTGAGGATTACTGTGTTTTAAAAGAAAATTATCTTTGGGGACGAGTGAAAAGTTCAAAATGAAAATACGAATTCAGGTTTTGTTAATTAGGATATATATAGAACCTTCGATCTATAAATAGCAACAGCAATTACACCTTAAAATGAGGCAGATGAAAACTGGTCTGGATATTGTTGTTGTTTTTTTTGGGGGGGAGGTGTCAACCAAAAGGAATTTAGATGATTTTAGTTCTTGCTGAAAAGTAGGAGTATGGGGCCCAAACCTTTCTCACACATCCTGCCCTAGTAGTGATAAGTTAATGAATTTATGTTGAAATGTAAGATTTTTTTCAGGTGTCTGATTCTTTGGATAAGTGATATTCACTATAGAGAAAACTTTTCAGTTTATTTAAGTATTATAGTATTAATACTTTCTCTGTGAGAAGTTGTGTTTTATAGATTTTAATACTGTGTCAGGCTTATAAAACTAAATAGCTGTTACGCTGTTTGTATTGCAAACCCCCAAACGGTTTCTTCCATTCGAAGAGAAAGTCCGTCCTGCCCAATGGAGAAATACCTTACAGCAAACACATGCACATTTAAAGGCATGGAGATAAAACCACCACTGACTTTCTGAAACTAAAATGCCTCTCAGTATCCTTCCAGAAAGAGTTGGGTATGTCCACATGCTTAAAGCATGACCTCACCTTCCTCGGGGCCTGCCTGTTGCTACCTGCATGGGAAAGTGAAGTGACAGGAAGTGATAGCAAGTGGTGCTAGTGATTCAGTGAGTGACACACTTCGCACTGAGTCAGAGCTGAAAACACAGCCCTGAAGTACCCAAGTGTCATCACAAAGAGGGGAGAGAAGAATGAAGGGTACGGCTCTGGCGGCTGTGGTGAGGCCTGCCGCCCCGCCTGTCAGCCCTCCCAGTCTGACAGATGCTGGGGGGTCCCTGCTCTCGCTTCACCAAGTGGTCTTGGCTCCCATTTCATAGGAAAGAGGAACGCAAGGCTTTCCCCTTGTTTCCTTTTCCTCCTCCATGACCAGCCCCCCACACACCTGGACCCTGGAGTCCCCCGGTCCTCCCCAGCCCTGCCTTCTTGTCATACATAGCCTGCAAACTTGCTCCTGTCGACCCGCTCCATGAAGCCGGTACCATTCCCCAAGTCGCTGCTCAAATAACGGAGCTCTTAAAGAAGAAGTTACCACTTCCTCAACTGCCAGTCGCTCCTCAAACCACAGTTGTCTCGATTCCACCCCCACCATTCCGCTGAAACCTCCTTCCTGGGTACCGGTTTCCATCCACCCGCCAAAACCAGTGGCTTGTCTTTCCTGTATTCACTCATCGAGTGCCTGCCACGTGCCTGGTGCTAGACTGGATGATGGTGATTTAGACCAGGGATCAACAAACTGTGGCCTCTTGGCCCTCCTGTGTTGTAAATAAAGTTTAAATTGAAACACAGTCACACCCATTCATCCATATATTGTCTCCACTGCTTTGGGGCTGACATGGCAGAGTTGAGTAGTTGTGACTAAGACCCCATGGCCCGCAAAGCTGAAAATATTTGCTGTTATTTGGCCCTTTCTAGAAAACGTTTGCCAGCCCCTGATTTAGATAAACTCGGTTTCTGCCTTCATGGACTTGACCTACAAGGAGGAGACATACTCCATAGCTAGTGGACAGGAAATTATTTGACCGTTGTCTGTGCTACAAAGGAGAAATGTGGAGTGAGTGAGAGCGTATAACGGGCCTAACGGAGGCCTAAGGGAATGCCTGACTCCTGAGGCATTTCGGTGAAGGTGCAGAGCACTTGGAAGCCCTGACATTTAAATACGGAAAGATGAGGGAGTGGACTGTACTTCAATCAAAAGTCTAAGGAAAAACAGTTTTTGAAGAGCGCAAGTTCCCTAGCTGGCAGTCAATAGAGGGGACTGAGCGTGTTGGAGGGGTGGCCAGGCCCTGGAGATCTGGAACACTTACCACAGGCCGTCAGAATGAAACTCCTCTGCCGCTGGCTCCCTTCCCATGGCTGTGAGCGTGCTGCCTCACTGTCCTCTCCGGCCTCACCTCCGCTCACCTCGCACATGTTGGTCTTCCCCACCTGTACCCTGCCCCCCATTTCCCGTTCATGCCCTCATCCCCTCCCCCAGCTCAGCTCCACCTGTGTAATTAGACTCAAGGTCAACTTCTGCAGCCTTTCTCCTCAGGGCCAGGCCCTATTTCCAGCCCATGATCTGGACCTCGTAGAGTGCGGGACTAAGTGTCTATCCTCCAGCCCTGCCTCCCTCACCTGTCCCAGACTCACGGCTTCCCCAGTGGGCCAGCTGTGTCAGATGCGGGGAGAGCATGGGCCCTGAAGAACCACCCTGCCTGCACCTAAACCAGAGCCTCGACCATGTGCCGGCTGGCAGAACTGTGCGACTGACTGAGCCTCTCTGTTGGGGTGGGGGGATCTCAGCCATGCCTGCCTCCTGGACTTGGAGGGGGGAGGGAATTGAGTGACCGGATTTGCCCAGGAAGTGCGCAGTGAGTGCTGGTGGTTCGTGGTGGTCCTGCGATCCTGGCCACCTGTCCTCACACGCCTCTCCGCCCTCCCACTCCCCTCCCCAGCCCTGTTCATGTCAGTTCTGCGCAGTCACTGGGACCAGGACCCTCCTCCTCCCAGCCTGCAGCTCAGAGCCCTTGTCCTGCCTGGCCTGGACTTGGACTAGCGTGCCACCTGCTCTCCCGTTTCCAGCCAGCTCTCGTGGCTGTTGTCGGACTTTAAAACCAGGTCTGATTCTCTTGCTCAAGACCATGGCAGGGGCACCTCTCCCAGCCTGGACCCAGCCTCATCTCGTCTGCTTCCTCCACACTGTCCTGCTCACTGGCCCCCGCCACATGCACACCAGGTAACACCCTTTCCACACCTCTGCGCTTAGTACATGCATGGGGGAGGGGGGGGGCAGTTTCTCTTCTTTGTCCCCTTGATAAGTTCCAGTTTATCTGTTAGGATTCAAGTACTGCTCCGAGCCCCTTTAAAAGTTGCAAACTCCAGTGCTGGCGCTCCGAGCCCCTTTAAAAGTTGCAAACTCCAGTGCTGGCAGGAGCTAGACAAGATTGTAAATGAGGGAGCTGGCCCAGATGGAAGAGCCTGAGGCCCTGGGGTGTGAACTGCCCCAGTTTCCTGCCGTCCCTTATCCGCTTCCCGCCAGTCTCCTCTGGGTTCTCATCCCTGAGAGCCCTCCTATTTCCTACTGTTGCTTGATGACCTCATTCATATCATGGCTTCAGGTTGCATCCGTAGCAGGGATTTTCAAAGCTGAGGCTTTTTTCAGATGTTTGCATGCCTTTGGCCCCTCCCGCCACAGCACACACGTACGGAGCTGACGTGGCCCCCTATTAAAATCACCACTGCAGTGAGTTGCGGTCACCAGTGGGAACATTGGATCCTCAAGTGTGCTGGGATGGACAGATGGTTGAGAAACGCCAACAATTCTACTTCTTCCTTTGCAATCTGTATGCCTTGTATTTTTTTTACTTGCCTTATTACATTGGCTAGGCCCTCCAATACTTAGTTGAGAAGCGGGAGAAGACAAGACATCCCTGCCTTAGTCTTGATCTTGGGGGTGGGGAAGCATTCAGTCTTTTATCAATAAGTGGGATGGCTGGGCTCTCGGGTTTTTGTAGGTACCCTTATCAGGTGGAGAATGGTCTATCTATCCCTAAGTCAATGAGATTTTATCAAGGATCGTGTTGAATTCTGTCAGGTGGGTTTTTTCTTACATCTTTTGAACTGTTCTTATGCTTTTTCTTTTTTAATCTTAAAATAGTGAATTATAATTGATACTAAAATATTAAACCAATGTTGCAGTCCTAGGGTAAATTTCATTTGGTTACTATGCATTTTGAAAACATTATTTGATTTGATTTATTAAAATTTTGTTAAGGATTTTTGCCTCCATGTTCATGATGAATATTGATCTGTGGTTTTCTGTGATATCTTTCCCTAGTTTTGTTATCAGGGCCTCATGAAAGAAGTTGGGAAGTGTTTTCTCCCCTGCTACTTTTTTGGAAGAGTTTATATAGAGTTGGTATTATTTCTCCCTTGAAGAGTTGTTATAATTCACCAGTGATGCCATGTGAGCAAGGAGTTTTCTTTGTCAGAAGAAATTTACTACAGATTCAATTTCTTTAACAGATACAGGCCTATTCATTTCTTCATGATTATGCTTTGGTAGCTGTGTCTTTCAAGGAATTTGTCCATTGTAGCTGCATTTTTAAAAATTTATTGGCATAAAGCTATTCATAATATTCTGCTATTATCCTTTTAATGTCTTTAGTATCTGTTCAGCTGTAAGTGTATCAATTTTAATGGTCTTCTCAAAGAACCAGTTTTTTATTTCATATTTCTCTGTTTTATATTTCATTGATTTTTGCTTTTATCTTCATTTTTTTCCCTTCCTTTGCTTATTTTGGCTCAGTTTGTTCTTCATTTAGTTTTTTAAGCTGGAAGTTTAGAATATTGATTTTTTTAAGGCTTTTTTTTTTCCTCTTGTGAGTATTTAGAACTATGAATTTCCCTGTAAGTACTGGTTTAAGTGAACGCCACAGATTTTCGTATGTTGTGTTTTCATTTTCATTTAGTTCAGAGTATTTCTTATTTCCCTTGTGACTTGTTTGACCTGTTAGTTTTTTAGGAGTAAGTTTTCTAATTTCCAGTTATCCAGGGATTTTCCAGAAAGCTTTTGATTATTGGTTTCTAGTTTAAATTCATTGTGGTCAGAGAACGTTCTCACTATTATTTCAAACCTTTTACATTTGACATTTGTTTTATGGCCTGGAATATGGTTTTTGTGAATGTTCCATGTGTGCTAGAAAAGT